CCAAACAAGCTACAGTAGTTGATTCAGTGACTGAAGCAGAATATATAGTAGCTAGTGAAGCTGTTAAGGAAGCTGTATGGATGAAAAAGTTCTTAACTGAACTTGGTGAGGTTCCTTCAATAGAAAGTGCGATTCCATTGTTGTGCGACAACACTGGAGCCATTGCTCAAGAAAAAGAACCAAAATCACACCTAAAATCCAAACACGTTCTGCCAAGGGATCACTTGATAAGAGAAATCATTGGACGTGGAAACGTCTAGATTCAAAAGGTTGATGGAAAGGAAAATGCTCCATACCCATTCACTAAAGCTCTTGGTGCAAAGGAGTTTGACAAGCACAAGTGAAAATTGGGATTAAAGTACAAGAGCGATTGGCTCAAGTGCAAGTGGGAGATTGTTAGGGATATAGTAGATATGCCCTAGATCCAATCTCATATTGATGATTTGAACATATTTTTGTGAACGTTATTCGATATAAAAATATATGGAATTCTTTTATAATTATTATTAATTGTTTGATTAATTTGATAAGGTCATTGATTAAATTTTGAGACTTGATATTGTGATAGAGATCATGATAATGAGAGTGAAGTTTCTTATAATTTAATCTAAATTTGTTCTTGATCATAGGATTATTAATTTGGACATTAGTAATCCCGTTAGATCAATATTTATATGATCGTCTTTATGGGATAAAGATTAGTTGATCTCATTAACTAAATCACATAGATAGATTATGCATATAGAGATATGATCATTGAATCGACTCATTAGATAATTCCTAATAGTTAGAATTACCATAAACTGTCAATAGGATATTCTCTTGAAGAATGTGATGTAAGAATTTCCTTTGACCTGAGATCGTCATAGTAATTGACAAATTATTTATTGTGCTTTGATACCAGACACCTATGGCCCTAGAGCGATAGTTGAAAGGATATTGGGTACGATTAAATACTTGTAGAATTAGTGATTGATCAAGATGGAATCTGTCAACTCTTGGTAATGAGTTTAAGCTCCATGTTGTCATGAATTATAAACTATCAAATTAAGACCTTGGCCAGGGCAATTGAATGAAAGAAGAAAAGAGTTTCTTAGGTCATTCAATGGTCGGTTATACTTGACATGAACACATAGTTGGTCGCCTATTAGGATTTGACAGTTGAACCATATCCTAGGGTGATCCAGAGCTATAAGGACAGAAGGAATTACTACATTATTCTTCTACTGGTTCTTGAGAGTAAATTGTATACTTCATGCTATCCGGTCGTTAAGGAGTGTTGCTAGACGTCACCCTTGATTAGTATATTGATGTGGTCAATTTACTACCGGTTTAGTATTGAACTTATGGAGTTGCATACTAACGAGTGTTCTGATTTTTGCTAAAGGATTAATTACTTTATTATTTGTTAATTAAATTAAGGAATTTAATTAGTCAAATAGATTCAGTTATTAGTCAAAATGAAATATTATTATAGTTTTTGCTAGCACAGAGGATATAATTAATATTGTGAACAAATTGAAATTTCTATTTGGAATAGAAAAATTAAATTATTTCTCTTAGTTGAAATATATATGTGATATATATAATATAAGTTATTATTGATTTATATAAAGGTTATATATAATATTAATTTATTCTCCAATTTGGAATTTGAATTGTAAAGACGTGAAAGTCCAATTGGACTAAGTAGCGTTCGGCACTTCAATCCCTTTGAGAATGGGATTCGAATTTTTATCAAAAATTCCATCAAGTTTATTTTTGGTATTGGGGGTGTATATCCAACCAATACCAAAGGGAACAATAAGACGATTGGTTTGGATGGCCTGAAAGCTGTTTGTTTGTCATCCAAATTACCAGTTGTAGCCATTGGCGGCATAGGCATCTCTAATGCTCAGGCTGTAATGGGACTAGGGGTCCCAAACCTGAGAGGCGTTGCTGTTGTATCTGCTCTATTTGATAGGGAATGTGTTTTGACAGAGACCAGAAAGCTACTCGAGGTGCTCAAGGAGTCAAACCAAATGGGCAAATTGAAGAAATGCTGGAGATCACCACATACTTCCAGGCAAAGCAACCTCAATTTTTGTTACCAAAAGATTTCTTGATTAAACTTTTGAAAGTAAACACGTGTGTGTAGAGAAGTAAATGCAGGCACTGGGATTTCGATATCGTTTCATTGATGCTGGTACAGTAGGAGATTGAAACTAAACATTTTCTTGAAGTTCAGTACGTGTTCATTGCCAAGGTTGATGTTTTACTTTGCCTTTTAAATTTTTTTTTTATTTTATTTTTGGAATTCCTGCCTCTCAGAGATATCTGATCTTAGTCTGTTATATACTCCCTTGCCATTTCAGGTGGATTTTTGTGTTGCTATTGGAGGGTCTCTTGTTAGTTCAATACTTCAGTCGGAGTCCCGGAGATATGAATCTATGTACAATAATTGCGAAATCTAGAGCCCGTTTGGACATAAGAAAAAAAAAAATCACTTTTTCCCAAAAAAAGATCACTTTTTTCCGAAATCAGCATTTGGTCATAAAATTTTCAATTTTCACCTGTTAATGCATTTTGAAATTTTTCGAAAATTTAAAAAATTCCAAAAAATTGTTTTTCAAATTTTTCACTCAGATCACTCACAAAACTTCAAAAACAATCTAAAATTATATTCATATCCAAATATAACTTTAATTTTCAAAAACTATTTTTACTTGAAAAAATATTTTACTTTTTTTTTAAATTTTACAATTCTTATGTCCAAACGCTCACCTAGTTAATCTGTTGTTTTAATAATGAAATAAACTCAAATTTTATGTAGTAGATATAGAGGAAATATTTAATATTTTGTTTGGAATGTTCATCTAATATACCTTGTGTTCTAATAGTTGGACGTTTAATAGTATAGCAAATAGTGATAAATGAAGCATCCGACTTGGGGCAAACCCCCCTGCCAACCTCGCCCCACCCCCAAACCCCCTCCCGCAAGAAAAAAGTAAAGAAAAGAAAAGAAAAGAAAAGAATGACATGATTATTATCTCTTGATGGTAGCTAAGAATTTGCCACTACTTCCAACTTGCACATGTCCTATTCAGAAAAAGGTCAAATGACACATTTGCTTGATATAGTTCTAAAATGATTGTTTTATGCCTTTGAGCTAGACTTTTGATCATACCTCGTGAACAATTTGCTTGTTACGTATAGCAACGGAACCCCCTTTCTTTGTTTGGATAGACAAAAATCACAGGATTAAAAGTTTAATTGCCATTTTGGTGACTCACGTACCAACAATTTGTATCCTCTTACGTTTTAAGTTGGCTTTTAAAAATAGAAAAAGACAGTTCTCGTTTTATGGGCAAAAAGAATTCTATGTTGTCATAATGCACTTTCAGCCATTATTTGAGTTTGATACAAGCTGCAATCACCCAAAACAAGAAAACTTTTTTAAAAAAAATAGTGATAGGTGTAGGCCTTTGCCCCTCTTCTCCCAGTGGAATCTTTGAACAATAGTAAACCAACAAGAGTCCAAGAAAGCAATTGTAGTTTTTTATTTTCTTTATATTAACGGCTCATTTTATTAAAGCAATCGTTTTTCAATTGAAAAATGCAGATGTGACTGCTTTTGCAAGTGTAAATGGAGCTATCAAAGTTTCTCAACTTTTGCTTTCCCTCTTACTTTACTTACTCTTTTTTCTTAGCAAAAGAACAGTCCATTTTATTTCATTCTCCTGAAAAGGACACCTTAAGATAAAGGGTAGAGAGGTAAAAGACCCAAAATTCTAATCCTTTTTATGTTTAAACTTTTTATAACTAATACAATATATAATATTTACTAGTATATTAAATTTGCAATATTTAATAGGTTCAGATCAGTACTTTTTCTATTTTAAATACAAACCAATCCTGATTACTCGGTATCGCTATAAGCTTACAATAAACCTATTTTTTAAAAGTAAAAGATAAAAAGAGTTGGTTTATTCTGCATAGTTATAAGCTTACACAAACCAATTTTTGAGATTGATAGATCGTGGAGACCATATATGCAATCCTATTCCAGGATGCATACAACTAGAGGTGGCAAACAGGTGGGCTGGGTCGCATAGGGATAGATCGAAAACGGGTAACATAAAAACGGATAAATTATCCAATTCGAAGTATATTTAATACAGATAAAAAATGAATTAACTGACGAATAATTCATGGCTTCTATTTTTAGGAGAATTCTAGTCTCCCAAACTTTAGAAACTCCAAATTAGAGTTTTTTGAAATGTAAAAGTTTAGTTCCATTGATTATCCATAATATGAATCTTATCTATATTTGACCTAATTTTTAAACGTTCATTATCCAACCCATTTTTTTAGTAGATAATATAGGTGGATAACTATTTTCTTTTTCCATAAACAAAACTCACCAAATCTCCTGTTAATTGAACTAAGGCTCATTGCAAAATATAGGCTGCAACTCAAGCTCATTCGAGTCTCAACTTCAGGGCACCATTTCCTTTGTCTCATGGTAACATAATTCACAAGCATCCTTACCAAAAAACTCTGAAAATTTTACAGACTTTTTGAATTCCAAACAACAAGAAAGATAAATTTTACACAACCACGAAATGCCCCACACTTAAAAAGAAAGTGTAACTTTCCACAAGCAAAAAAAGATAATGTAAGGCCTAGGTGAAACAACTTCTACACAACCATGAAATGCTAAAAGCTAGTCTTTCACAAGCCAAAGAAAGATAATTTAGGACTAGGGGTTTGTCCACAGTTCTTTATGAGAAAAGATGATAATGTGCACTTAGGTGAGACGAACTTCTCCGCTTTCATGTGCCTGCTTCACTTGCTTTTCATATTCGTCTTCTTCTTCTTCATCCTCTTCCTCTTCTTCTACATCTCCTTCCTTCTCCTCTTCTTCTTCTTCTCCTCCCCAGCCAAAGCCTGAGACTGAACGGGAAGCTGGAGCGGGAGTCTTTGCCTCTTCCACAATTTTCATGATCTCCTCAACACTCTGAAGTGAAAATGTTGGGTTTTCTCTTCTGTAATAAGCTGCCTGTGCTGCTTCTGTTAATTCCCTCGGCAAATTCTTCAAAAACCATGGGTGAGACTTGATTTCTTTGATTGTGATCCTCTGCAAAAACAAACCTATTCATTAGACAAGCCATGATCTCCTACTTCAAATCTGTTCTAATTTTTCATTTTTCTACAATATGGGTAGAAAATAGGGCGCACAAAGATGAAAGGTGATGATTCATAGTTGGTGTGTATATTTTCTGATTTATCATATCAAAAACATTCTTTATGATGTTGAAAACTTGAACAGATGACCAAGCAGATGCAGATTTCAGTTTTTTCCGAGGGTAAAATCGCAAATACAAACTGCCAATATAATCATAGAAACACTACAGAAAATACAAATAACCATTAAATTGAGATGTCACAGTATTTCCCCTCTGACTATTCTGATGCTCTCCCCTTTTGAAAGAGAAGCCAAGATACTTACAAGTAGTACTTGGTACTGTAGAAGTATCTGGATTAAGAAAAAAGAATCTATCCCAAAAAAAGGGAATAAAAACTACCCCCAAGCTTCCATTTGATTTCTAGGTGGACAAGGGAAAACAGAACGTACAAGAATAAGGCAGGTAGGTAAGAACAAAGAGGATCTAACAGGCTAAACAACAATGCTTAAATTATGGTACTTTAGGACATTAACTCAATCATAGTGGAGGGGTACTGAGACTAGGGATGAAGCTTAGATCCAGCAAAAAAAGTCTTGGAAGGTTGAAGTGATTCTCCATGTTGAAGTTCAGCGATTTGGTTCAGGTAAGGCGATTCAGGAAATCTTATTTGATAAATGGACAATTCAAGATATGTAATTTCATCTTATAAATTGTAACATTGGTCACCTAATTGGAATATAATCTATCGAATGGGCATGGCAGAAATAATATGAATAGGGAGCAAAAAGCCAAGTGTATAGATCCACATTGGGTGAAAACAAATGATGCATTAAATAGGTAACATTTGTATCAGACTGTTAGCTCATTAAGAATTCAAGTAAACTTCCAATAGAACACACCCAACAAGGACAGAAGAGAGCATACCCTTGCTGGATTAGCAACAAATATCCGAGAGAGAAGGTGCCTACAATCTTGTGATATGTGAACATAGTCGGGAATCTTGTACTGTACCGCCATTATTCGCTGGAAAGAGAAACATCAAAGCCAAATTAAAAGGGCAAAACATCACGTGAAGTTCTTTGGATATGTGAAGCCTTCGAACTCACTTGAATAGTTTTCCTAAAATTCTTCGGATCCTCCTGATCTTCAAAAGGATATGCCCCAACCAGCATCACATAAAGTGTCACCCCGCATGACCAAACATCAGCCAGCTGAAATAATCACAAACAGAACTTCAAGGCCTAAGAATAAAATTAGTAAAAAGAGCTTCACTCTTTAGGGAAAGAATGTGGGAGGGTGTAAATAAGATGTAATTTATGCAACTGTGGGAGCATCACCTGTAAATTCAACAAGTCGTAGAACAACTAGTTATAGTGGTTTCTTAACTACTCATAAGAGGAAAAGAAATAAAGCCCATATATTCCAGATTGCTCCATAAGGATGCAAATGCAGCTCCATGCAGATGGATGCCAGACAAAAATCATTTGCATAATGCCCCTCCACCAAATGTAAAAGATCACATAAGTAATTACACAGATACCTTGCCATCATATTCTCTTCTTGATAGGACCTCAGGAGCAATATAAGCTGGAGTCCCAACAGTTGATTTTGGCCTCGAATGCAACAGGGACGACTGCGATTGCATAACAAAAACTATGAGCCTTTCCTAGGGGGATAATAAGTCTATATATATAAATCACCAGAACATCATCAACCTTTGAGTATCCAAAATCACATATCTTCAAGCGTGGAGCTGGACTTCCATCAAGAAGCGTATTCTCCAGCTTCAAATCTCTATGGCATATTTGCTGCAGAGGCAATGGAAGTTTGAAGAAGATTAAGCTCCTTTAAACTAAAAAGATGGCATTTGCAATAAAACTTATACAAATAAGTCCAGGCCTAAGATGTATCTAAATTTCTGTTCATATGTTCACACATAAAGAAAGTTTTTTTTTTTCTTTTGTAAATTCTTGTAAGTTTCTTACCATGTTGTGACAGTAGTGAACTCCTGAAATAAGCTGCTGGAAAAAGTACCTAGCCTGAAGTGACAGCAGCAAGAAACCAAATGAGACAGGCACTGAAGATAGTGAACCAAGTCTCTTAAAATCACAGAAATGTGACCTTTTAAAATCATAGACTTCATTACCATTTCTTTATCCTTCAGAATCCTTCTATATGGTAGTCTATGTGAGACTGATTATTGACACAGTTAAAATTTTATAATATACCTCATCTTCACTAAACCTTCCTGCATTGCAAATGCGCTCAAACAGTTCTCCACCAGCTGCATATTCCATAACAATGGCAAGATGAGTGGGAGTCACTAACACCTGTATCTCACAAAACAAATGCACAACAATTAGGCCAGCTATTCCTTAGCTTTTCTTGCCATTTTCAAAACAAACCAANAAACAATTAGGCCAGCTATTCCTTAGATTTTCTTGCCATTTTCAAAACAAACCAATATTATCAATAAAGCATTGCAAAATACTAAAATATAAGCACACAAACTTGCCTCCTTGAATCGAATTATGTTTGGATGCCGAAGCGATCTATGATTAATGATCTCCCTTGCTACATTCTCATCAATCTATAACAAAATGTGACATCTCAATATTAAGAACCTTGGATGATAGTGCTAATTACATGTTTAACTGATAATTAGGGGGAAAAACTAATTGATTTGATGATAAAAGACAGTAATAATACAAACCTTATGTCCTCTCTCAATGTATTTCATTGCCACAAGTTCTTTGGTTTCCTTGTGCCTCATCAGCCTTGCCACACCAAAATTCCCTGACCCTATATCTTTCACAAGCTCGTATTTATCCATTTTCTTATCCTTCACAAACTTCACTATATATTAAAATAAGTACAAAATCCCTTAACTTAAAACCAGAAATCCAGCAAACCCTTTCTAACACCAAACAAAGCCAAATTCTGATGACAGATACCAAATTTGAAAATTAAGGTTTTAAATTTAACACAAAAAAGGATCAATTTTTAAAGAAATTTATAAAATTCCCAGATTTTCCCAAAATTCCAACTCCAGAAACAGCCTAAATCCAACACCTTTAAGCTGAATTACAATATGGTATTTGAAAATCCGTGAATTTAAGAAGAATTAGGGTTTCTTGAGACCAAAAAAGATTAGGAAACTGAGGGAAGAAGACGAAACCGAAATTGAGGTGGAGAAAAAAGAAAGCAAAAGATTAATTAGCAGAAATTTGAAGCTAAAGCAAGGAATCCAATAGTGTGTGTGTGTGTGTGTGTGTGATTTTTTGTGCACGAGACAGAGAGAGAGATTCTAGGGAATAACAGGGACAGAAGTGCATAGAAGTGTGAAATAATAGTAAGAAAGAGAGAAAGGGAATGAAGAATGAAGAAGGAAGAATGAAGAATATATTATTAAAATTGAAAGCTCAAGTGTCAAAGTCTATTTTATGGAAGTATCTCTGTGACTCTGTCTATTTATACTAGTATACTAGTAGTAAGAATATATTTTACTTTATTTTCCTTAAATAATGGATTTATCATTTTATTGAAGTAGGAGTAGTATTGATTTATTTAAAAACTGTGGGCAAAATTTAAGGTTTCAAGGATATGAATTTGTCGGCCGATTTGGGTCAAGATCAGTGAAGCGGTGGCAACAGTCTGATGTCACAGTCCAAATTTTTAAGTGCGGCCCAATCCAGTCCATCATCTTCTTTCTCATTTGGACGGTCAGGATTGAAGTTGGAAAAACTATACAGTATACTTACTCCCACAAATAACGGCCCATAAAATATATATTTTTTATATATTAATATATCATATACATATTTTATACATAATTAATATTTTTATATATATATTTAGCTAGCAAATATAATTATTTTTAACCGATGGCCAATATATAACTTGTCCTTTGAAGTTCATAAATGTTATTGATGTTTAACTTTTGTCCCCCCTTTTTTTTAAGTTTATGCAAATATAGACTCGCGAACAGCTATGGATTGCGCTAGAACTTAAAATTTGTGAGTTTAAAATTTTAATTTTTTTGAGTTATTAGGTTCTAAATTAATAACTTATATATAATATGAATTTTTAAAAATAAATATAAAATTTAGACAAAAATAATTTAATTTCACAGACCCAATAGCTTAAAAGCTAGCTTTGCCCCTGCCAGCAGCTCCTGGCATAACTTCTATTTTTTTCCTCTTCATCCTTACACAATTTTTTGTTCTATTGTTTTTGTAGAGTATTTTTCGTTCAATCGAGAATATCAACTAAAAATTAAAAGTAAGATTAGATTTATTTTAAAGAAAGAAAGACAATGGGAAACAACAAAAAAAAACAATTATTAAACCCATAGCTCATATTTGGCTCTAAGATCTATTCTTCTTTTTCATGCTAATACTCAACAGCAGTAAATCACTAAAGTATTTATCGTACAGGCAGAATGGCCTAAATGGCACTTATACTTGTGTCACTTTGTTATGTCAGTCCTCAAATTTAATAATTTGCCAATTAAATATTTATACTCATTCAAACCGTGTATACTAAACACTTATGACAGGAGATTATCAGTGCGTGTAATACAATCTCCTACACGTAGAACACCACGTCAAGAAAATTAAACCACTTAGGCTCCAGGCCCCCCAAAAAACCAATTCTTCATATGTTCTTCATCTTTCAAGATTAACCCAGCACCTTTCATGGCTTCTCCCACGATGAGCAATCATACTCTCTCTTTTTCTTCCTACAATTCCTATAAAACCCATTACGAAATGCACAAAATCATATCATGATTTTTCCCAAGCATAAAACTCTTTTTGGGAGCTCGAACGCAGATAAACTCACCCCCACCTTAGAATCCGGTGACTGTTGCTTCACTCCTCATCTCTGTCGTTTCTCTTCTTCATCGTCCCTTCCCCCCTATTTTATTTTCTCTAACTGTTTGTTAGTTTTTTACAGGTCTGGAGCCGAATAAATTAGATCTGGCCGAAAATATAACTTTTCCGGGACCTTCATTCCACCACAACATTTGTCGGCGACTTCCGCTCTTCCTTTTATGTTATTAAACCCCAAATAAACTTAGGCAAACTATCAGATCTTAGTAAAAAATTTGGCCGGAATTTAATTTCGCTTGAATACTTGCTCTTCCTTCTAATTCTGTTGTTTCTGTATTACTTTGACAATAGTTCATATATTTGTTCTTTGTGCAGATTTGGGGAATGAGAAAATTTTCACTTTGGTTTGTATAGAGATAATTATTGTTTCTTTTGATTTTAGTATTTTTTTAATCAAACCCAGTGTATTCACCCGCTTTTAAAAGCGCGTGACCACACATTTCATCTGGCTCAGCAAAATAAATGCACATACGTTTGGTCAACGGCCAAAGTGGTTTAATATATAAGTTTTGATCAAGTAGAAATGTCTGGATGAAAACAAATGAAGCAGAGGGACCGGCATGACAAAGTGGCATAAGTACAGGTGTCATTTAGGTCATTCTGCCTATTGTAAAAAATGAAAGAAGCAGAATATAAGATGAAGACCTCAAACAACCACAACTTGCAACAACTGTATAAGTGTTATAAAACAATAAAAAAAAGTATTACAGAGAAAAGTATAGAGAGAGAATTCTTATTGATTTGGGATCAATTACAATGGAATAGAACCCTTCTATTTATAGGGAAAAAGTGACTTAGCTACCAAGTAACAAATCCTAAGATCTCTCTAAAATATAGACATTCACCTTAAATGGAATTCTATTTATAACACTCCCCCTTAAATGTCTATTCAACAGATAATGTACCTCGTTAAAACCTTAACTAAAATAAAACCTAGTGGGAAAAAATTCTAGAGAAAGAAAAAGAGTACATATATCTAATAATACGCCTTTTGGTTGCCTCGTTAAAATCCTTGCAAGGAAAATCCAGTGGGACAAAACCTTGTAAGGAAAAAAGAGTACAACGCGTATTAACTCCCCCTCTGAGAGCATCAATTCACATCTTTGAGCCTACGCATCCCAATCTTGTACACTAGCTTTTTGAAGGTTGACATCGGTAGAGATTGGTGAACAAATCAGCCGTATTATCACTTGAATGAATATGTTGCACCTTGAAATCACCATTCTTGTATATATGTAATCTCTTCATATAATGTCGTGGAATAACCTTTTCAATATCTCCGTAGAGGTATTCTCGTTGTTTATAGTTATAGCAAGATACATATGTGCACAAATAGCACTTAGAATGTGGTACTTCATGACCAAAAATTGTATATACTTTAAGCGATTTAAATCCATCAAGGATTGTCATATAAGTCATATAATAGACTTTAATTATATGCATATCAAGTTTTCATATCATGCTAGATAAATAAGATATCGAAAACTGATTGCACATATCATTGACTTTATACTTTCAAGTGTTTGAACTGTAGGTCTAAATACTTGTCTTTCATATGAAACCAATTCTACTCGAACTGCATCTATTCTATTTGGCCAATATTTTTGTGTCTGTATTCGACAAACTTAAGATCTTCATCTATACTTAGCGCTATCATAGATGTCATCGACAAACATTTTATATCGGTTCCAACATTTTCATAAAGACATGACATGGAGATCTCTTCATTCATATTTTCAGGTATCTGAATCTCTCTTGAGATTTTATGAAGTATTATATTATGTGATCTTCTAGATCACTTGCCTCCTTATTATGATCATTTGCTCTTCTTCTTTATCAAGAATTTTATTTGAAACAGATTTGTCTATACGCTTTAAGCGTACCACAGACTTTGTCCTTCTAGAACTTATTATAATAGGAGCATTTGCAGTGAGAATATAGTTACTTTTTTTGGGTCAGCAAATGCGTCTGGCATGCTTTGCAATATATTGCAGATGAATTATCTTTTTATGAACTTCAAGTTCTTATTATCTTATTCGAGGATCTAGATGTATAAATAATAATCCATTCCATGTAACTTTTTATCAACTGTTGTATCATGTTTCCCCCTCATGTTAGAAAAACTAACTTGCTTCCTCAACTTTGAAAATCCATCCTTGTGCGTTATTATGTTAATTAAAATATACAACGCACATCAATAATAATAATAAGATGGAAGTATTTAGTCATGACCCTGAACCAGTTATGATGGGAAAATATAATATACTTTCGTATATAATGTATGTCAACTGCTATTGATAATTTATTCTCATAAGCAATAATTTAGCTATTAAGCGGAGGCACTCAATAAATTATTTTCCTAAATTAACTGTGATGTAAACCAACTTATCAAAATAAACTATCTTGAATATAAAATCTAAAAATTATGCTCTAAACTAAAGTATTGAGCAACTTACCTCGCAAACACCATCTTAGTTGGGATTATATGGTATACATGGCAGGTGAATAGGCCCATATTCACCTTTGATATTTTCAGTATTCATGGGATTCAATCTCAATTTTAGTTGGTCTACTAATTAATGAGAACAAACAGCATAAGAGAATTCGTGAAGAACTTTGTAGTTCTTTAATATTTAACCATGTGAATTCTCTTTTTTTTTGCACATCATACTTAAATTAATATGGATAAATCAATCGTGTCAACTGAATAAATTATCAATATTGATAAACTTTAGGTTTACAATTGTGTCAACTCTGGAACCCACCAATTTTCTTTCTTCGTTGTTGACATGATCTTACACAACCTACCCGCCGAATTCCTCGAAATCCTTTTGTTAGCATTTCATGAACACTCTGAATTTCTAGCAGCATTCACATATTCGACTTCTTACTGGATAGTCAATAAAATCCTTCGCAGAAGTTTCGCCAATCACGCGACCGCTGACCTGCTCACAAGAGATAACCCACCTGTGAAAATTATACGCCGACATCTTTCAACGTCGCTGCACGGGGTACAATCACTACGACTTCAATAACCCATCCTGAGTCCGTACTCATTCACCCACTGTACTCATTTGTTCACTTCTTATGGACATCAACTAAATGTGCGACAATATCTTTCAATTCAAAGTTATATGACATCCTTTTTTGTATCAAGCAACTCCCTTTCTGTTGTATCCAATCTCCCGCCGTATAATAGCCAATATTTCAAATTAAGCCTGTGGACCCAATCACCGTCCGCTAAAATTCCCAAACCACTCTAAACTTTTTCTCAAGGTGTGAGTTATCTTGCCACTGAACCCATATGCTACTCTTCAACTCTCCCACTTTGGTCGAACTCGCTCTTTTAAGCAACTACTTGACTTTTGCTTCTTACACCTGGCCTTCTAGAAATTTAACCACCTCCTGATACTTCCCACATGTCCTTCCTCATCCTTTGTTGCCCAGTTGTTGCCTTAGATCAATATCTATCTCTGTAGAACTTAACCGATAGATTGCTACTAACTTCAACCCTTTCCGAAGATCCTCCTTCTCGAGCCGTCAACATTAGAAATACCCATATAATCCTGAACTACCGCACCCGGCGATCTCTGACAGCTTTTTCTCCAATATTATCTCACAATATCCTGCCCCAAAAGCGAATTGTAGAAGATCATAACACCGGGTAACTTAACACAGTCAATCGAGGACGATGATACCACGTCGCAGATAAATGTATCATTTATGGTTGGCGAGAAGGTCCTCTTGAAAGTCTCGCCAATGAAGGGCATCATGAGGTTCGGGAATAAGGGCAAGTTGAGCCCAAGGTTTATTGGTCCCTTTGAGGTGTTGAAGTGAGTTAGGGAGGTTGCCTATGAGCTTGCCTTATCCCCCAGCTTATCGGGAGTTCATCTAGTTTTTCATGTATCGATGCTTCAGAAGTATCACGCCGACCTATCACATGTGTTGGACTTCAGTACTATTCAGTTGGATGAGAGTTTGGGTTATGAGGAGGAGCCAGTTGCCATTATTGATAGACATGATCGCCAGTTGAGGTCCAAGAGGATTTCTGCAGTGAGGGTCCAGTGGAGGGGCCAACCGGTTGAGGAGGCGACCTCGGAGTCCTAGGAGGACATGCGGAGCAGATATCCCCATTTATTCAGCAGTTTAGGTACTTTTCTATGTCCGTTCGAGGATGAACGTTTGTTTAAGAGGTGGAGAATATAACAACCCGACTGGTCGTTTTGCCTTTTAGAACCCCGTTCTCTTAAATAAAACTTTCCATGCTTGCTTTAACTGATCTACAACTTGCGGGGATGGTTGGTTCGGGAGTTGGAAGAGTTTTGAGTGAAATATGTCCATTTGTTTCTTTAAGATTCTCTTAAAAGACCAAGTATGACTTGGGTCAACTTTTTGGAAAAACGGACCCGGATTCGTGTTTTGACAGTCCCAGAGGGTCCGTGGGAAAATATGGGACCTGGGCGTATGCCCGGAATCGAATTCCGAGGTCCCTAGCCCGAGTAATGAATTTTTATTAGAAATTGTTAAATTGAAGTTTTAAGGAATTAAAGAAACTAAATAATCATTGATTTCTTAGGTACCGGGCTCGTATTTTGGTTCCGAAGCTTGGTACAGGTCCGACATATCATTTAAGACTTGCCCGTAAAATTTGGTGTCAACCCGAGTAGTTTAAGGGCGTTTTGACCCGTTAGAGGAGAATTAAGAACTTGAAGTTCTTTAATTTGATTCATTTGGTTTTAAGGGTTGATTCTTAGATTTAGCATTGTTTCGGGTGTTCTGAGGATTCGAGTAGGTCCGTCTCATGATTTCGGACTTGTCGGTAGGTTCGAGCGGGGCTCGAGAGCCCCGAGCGTCAAACGGACGAGGCTCGAGTGAAGTAGGAAATTTGGAAAAGTGCTGAGTTTGCTGCTTCTGTCATAACTGCATCTGCGGTTCTAGGACCGCAGATGCGGGACTGCAGGTGCGGTCCACTCTTCGCAGAAGCGGCTCAGTGGCTAGGCCAGGAGAAACTGCAGATGCGGCTCCCAAGCCGCAGAAGCGGTCCCAGCCACTTTTGCCCAGTTCCGCAGATGCGGCTCTTCATCCGCAGGTGCGGGACTACAGATGCGGTCCCCTGACCGCAGATGCGAAAATCGCTTGGCAGTGAGGCTCATTTAATTCGAGCTCAAGACCATTTTTATCACATTATCATTCACCCTTTGGGCGATTTAGGAGCTCTTGAGAGAAGGTTTCCACTTAGCATTGCAAGGTAAGTTATTTCCACTCATCCTTAGTTTAAATACATGTATATTGGGTAGATTAAACACTAAAAACTAGGTAAAATCAGAGGGTTAGAGCTAGATCTAGGGTTTTAATAAAATTAAGATTTAACCACGAAATTTGTTATGAAATGAACTAGAAATCATATATTATTGATCCTTAGGTTGCAGAGAACAACTTTCTTCGAAAAATCTCGGAATCCGGGCACGTGGGTCCGGGGTCAGAATTTAGGAAACTCAT